TTATTATATAGGGACCGGTAGCCAGCTGAGGTTTAACGTGAGAGATCAGCCTTGCCAATTTGGATGCTGAATATTTTAGTAATTGTCAGGCCAACACCAACGCTTTATTTAACATGAATTCAGCAGGGAAGTGAATAAAACATTGGTACCTATGCTTGCTAAGCCTCTGGTGTTCACGGTGTAGTATTTTTTTCAATGATTATCATCGATAAACAATTCTACGGCAAGTTATTTCAAATCAGTGGTTATTGTATAAAATTTAAAGTAAATGAACAATTTATGGTGAAGTTATTTTCGGTCACAAAATAGAGAAAGCATGGGCATTGTTTCCTCATTTACATACACCCGGCAGGATTCTGCCGGATTCATTACCCGCTTCCGGTCCTAGCTAAATCCATCTCAGGTCTTTATTAAAAAAGTCATTACGTTTTAAAAGCAGTGGTAAAAGCTGTGAATTAGGCAAAAACACATTTCTTCGTTGCCTTGGTACTTGGGAAAGACTTGTGATTGGATTTGATGAGGAAATTGTGAAAGGACTGGTGGTAGACTCGTTGTTTGTACATAGCTGACAAGTTGTGGATTATTTGTCACATCTTGTTATATCTATCCAGGTTCAGAGACAGCCGTGGGTGGACGTGGAGGAACAAAGCGTTTAGCTATTGTTGGTCAGTCCGCCGTTGATGTCAACAAAAATATGATAGGCAATGAGTTTACGCTCTTTCAGTCTGATGAAGAACGTCCTTCGAGGCAGCGACTCATCTACGACTATGAACAGGTTTAGTAAAACCAATAAGAATCAAGCCAATGAATGTGTATTCTCTAATCATGCATGGTTATGTGAATGGTTATGTATGTTTTATTTATTGGTTAGGTATAATTATATCATTTTATTTCGCTCTGATATTTTATTTTTTGTTGAAAAGAAATCAAGTGTAGTTCAGGGTTGGCTAATGCCATTCGTAATTCTTTGATCAACGAAGCTATTGTCGCATTGAATAGCAAATTCAAGTAGCTTTACTGGTCAATTTTAATTCAATGTCTCTATCATTGTTCAGGGCCGCACCACCCTGCTCCTCTTACAAAATATATATTTTAAATTTTTCATTGCGGTTTTAAATATTAGAGTATTATGGACTTGGCCGGAAAACCAGCAAGAAATTTGAGTTCTGAAAAAAAGTCGGGATAATCTCATAGTACACGGTTTGCCTAGAACAGTCGAGCTTACCTGGCGTAAGCCTGGGCACGCACCGCGCCCCAGCCGGTACCTCGACGGTGACACCTTGACGGAAGTACATGTACTTAACAGTATCCTGTCCTGAAACGCAAAACCTTGAATGGAGGAAGTGTAACCCCATTAGGGAGAGCAAAGTTCCTTTTGAGTAGAGGAAAAACTTAAACTTAAATTGAATAAAGACAAATCAACTGATAAATCTCTTCATAAAGTTATGATCTTTATGGAGAAGAACCCGCTTGAAACTATCCTTCGGTACTTTTTGCTGCTATAATTTGCTCACCACAAAAAGGTGTTGGGGGATGAAGCCCATTTCCTGTGGGAAATATGTACTCCCCCCCCCATCTGATCCAAAGTCAGATTCAAATCTGATTTAGATTTAGATTCTGATCATCGGTGCACATTTCCAGCTTTGTCCGAATGCCATTGAGAACACTTTTGTGTCACTTTTGAAAACGGAGAAGAAGTTCCAAATTGGCTGCAAACAGTTTATCCACAAATGCGATCATTTGGCTTTGTGCATTCTGAGTTTTGGGTAATTCCAGAAATTAGGGGTCCAAAAGTGTGACATTTAAGTGTCCCATACATCTGACTTTTGTTTTTTGACATGGAAATATCACCGTAATTGATTTCAAACTATTACTATTGGTTTGGCAGGTATTTGCATTAATTCATCACTCTTGGAAATTAGAAAATGTGTTCTAAACTTAAAAAATGTTATGTCAGATGTGACAGGGACACGAACAAAAATGGACCCTTGATTTCTGGAATTACCCAACGCAGTTACACAGTTACAGTATAAGTCCGTTGTGTGACACACATCCAGGGAGGGATGTTTAACTGGAAACGTAGATACCTTCGAAAAGTCTTAGTGTATGCTTAACAGTTTCAGTTGGA